ATAAAATAGTAAAATAGTAAAAATCGGGGCCGGCCCTGTGGCGTAGTGGTTAAGCGTGAGCGCTCCGCTGCTGGCAGCCCGGGTTCAGATCCCGGGCTTGCACCGACGCACCGCTTGTCAGGCCATGCTCTGGCAGTATCCCATACAAAGTGGAGGAAGATGGGCACGGATGTTAGCCCAGAGCCGATCTTCCTCAGCAAAAAGAGGAGGGTTGGTATTGGATGTTAGCTCAGGGCTGATCTTCCTCACACACACACACACACAAAAAGGTCCAAAAACTCTAGACTATTTCCAAAAAAAAAAAAAAAAAAAGCAAAATAACTGAAAGGAAGATCTTTTATTTTTAATATTTATTTTAATATTGACTGTAAACTTACAGTCAATATTTTTAAAAAATGAGAATAAAATAAGCATGCCAACTATCACCATTATTTGATAATATCGTTCTGGAAACTTTGACAAATGCAGTAAGAAATGAAAATTAATAAATGATAATTAGATACTCAGAATTAGGTGTTGACTAGATATAAGAGAAATGTATTAAAATAAACAGCTTTCCTACACATCAAGAATAACAAGTTATGTTTATTAACAGAACATGCAGTTCACCTGAGGAATAAAAGAATCAAATACCTAGAATAATCTCAATAAATAGTTAAGTGCAGGTGTATATACAAACACACATATAAAATAGATTAAGAACTTGGCTAAGATGTATAACAGAAAGCTTAAATAAACGAAGAAACATACCATGGTCCTGAGAGAGAAATCCACTTTATTCAATCCACTATAATCTATACACTTACCCAATTTCAATCAAAATCCTAACAGGATATTTTTGAAAATTAACACAGTAAATCAAACTTCATGTGAAGGAATAAATTGATAAAAACAGCTAATTCCCCACTCCACCGGCCCCACCCCCTGTCACTACTTCATTCAGACTGTCTCACTAACCCCCGCCCCCACCTCCCCCCACCTCCCCAGGGTTCCTGGACACACCTCTTCACTGAGCTCCTCGAGCTCCCCATCCAGTGTGGAGGAGGAAGTTTTCAATTTAAAACCTGAACTCTTCAGCACACAAGGCCTTTCACTGCCCTGCCCACCTTCTCTGGCCTCTTACCTGCTCCTCCTCCTCCCTTTCATTCCAGTCTTATATCACTAATGGAAGCTCCTAGAACGAACGGACAGGCAGTCTGGCCTTAGACAAGCCATCATCTCCTCTTTCTCAAAAGCCCAGCCTCCTCTTCTTTTCCTTCAAAATTCAGTTGAAGTGCTTCTTCCTCTAGAAAGCCATTCAGGACTCCCTGTAGTCATATTTACAGCCCCTACTCCAGATTTCCACAGAATCTCGGGCACTGAGCTACGAAGGCATGTATCACACTGTCTGTAATCAGTGATAAAGCTGTCTGTTCACGCCTACTAGAATACAGGCAGCAGATAAAACAAATGGGGAGATGATGAAGTGAAGCGAGCAATGGAGAGAGTAGGAGGAAACCAAACAGAATTTCACTGGAGACTCAGAAAAGGAAGGCATCTAAGTAAAGACACGACTTCAACCTTGAGGTGATGAAGACTGCCAAAATGTCAGTTCTAGAGCTAAGGGATGCCATTTAGAAATTCAGAATAAGCAAAAGAACCTCTTAGCTACAACTTCAATTATGCAAGTACCAAGCCCTAAAGGAGGAAGGACAGAAGAACAGCTTTTGCCCTTTTTGGTTCCTACCCTTCTTCCTTCTTCCGGGGATGAGAAGAGTCTAGTCCTGGTTATTGAGAGAAGAGTTCCATTAAGAGTAAAAGTGATATAATAAGCAGAGGGATAAAAGAAAACATGTTTGCCAACTCAGATTCCAGAGTCTGAGATATTAACGGTTTAAATGGAACAAGAGCTTCAGGCACAAAAAGAAGAGTAGAACCCCATATAGAACCCTATAGAGTCCCTATCCTCCCCTTAAGAAATGGAGGAAGGCACAGGAATGAATTTCATCTATTCTCGCCTGTCAGTACTTAACTCTAGAAAGACAATATAAAGAACACTGGCAGAAAGACAAATAGACCTTAAATATGTCAAGGCTGTAGGAATTACTCTGGGTAGCCATGATCCTACAAAAGGTAACATACTATGGATGCCTGACAGGTAAGAGACTAAGAACTCCGCCCAGGGAGCAGACATCATTCACGCTAGAATCATTCACTCAAACTCTACCAGGAACCAGCTCTACCACCCTAGAAAAGGAGCAGCTGACAGAAACTTGGTTTTGGATACTCTCTTCACACTTAAGTGAAGTTGGGAGCAGAAAGGGGCAATTCCTGTTTTCATCTCATCTGACCTTTTATCAAAAGAAAGGAAAAATATACCCTCTTTTCATGCATTCAAACACTAATTCACTCTACACATAAATGTGGGTACAGACTGTGCTAACCACTCGGGAGGCCCTGGGAGGGCAGGCATGACCCTTGTTACACGGAGCGTACAACCTAAGCAGAAAATACTAAGAAGCAAACATACTACCACCTAAGTTCTATGACTGGGAAGAAGCACAATAGACAGACAAAGGAATCAGGAAAGCCAGCCAAAAGGAAATGACACCTAAGATGAAACTCAAAGAACTGGCCACCAAACATGAATATTCCAGACAAAGGGAAAGCCTGTTTAAAGGCTAGAAGGCAAAATAGCCTAGCACGTTTTAAGGAAATAAAAATTTAGAAAGGCTAGTGCAAAGAATGCTTGAGGGAAAGGGGGACAGGAGGAACTCTGCAAAGACGGTGCTGGTGGGTAAGCAGCACCAGACCGTCCACTGCCTTACAAACCATGTTTTGAAGTTTGACTCTTATTTTAAAAACATTAAGAGTTGCCAGTGAAGGGTTTTAAACAAATAAGTAACTAGGCAAACCTGTATTTTCTGAAAGCTCTTAGGCTGCAGTATGGGGGATGAATCAAAGAAAAGTGATCTGCAAAGGAGACCAGTTAGAAAACTGGTGAAGGCTATCAGGTGAGCAACAACTACTATAAAATAAAACAGAAAGCAAAAAACACAGCAAATACCTAAGTATGATGACCAACAGTCTGCAAAAGGAGCAATAACAAATTAGGAACAGCTCCCACACTGTTACACCCTAGATTAAATCGCTTCCTGCATTTGCCCCATCACTGCCTTACTATCTTCTATCCAACATCATTCATTCCCAAGCCCTTTCACCAAATGAACCCTCCTTTCCCACGATCCTAACTCTATCGACCAGCTGTCCAATATGGTAGCCACTTGGCACATGTGCCTATTTACATTAATTAAAATAAAATACATTTTCAAGTTTAGTTCATCAGTAGCAATAGCCACATTTCAAGTGTTCAATAGCAACAGATGGCTAGTGGCTACTTAGCACTCAGCACAGATCCAGAGCATTTCCATCACTGCAGAAAGATCTATTGAACAGTGCTAGGCTATAGATATACCTAAACCTGCCACTTCAGTAGGTCAGCCGATTTAAAACAACGCATCCATCTGAGAAGGCACTGTGAGGGCAGACTCGCTCACTGTCTGGGGCCCACACCTTGTATATTAATAAGCTTCACAGTGTGGTGAAAAATCATGGTGTACAATCACAAGGCGGGCCCTGTGTTTTGGCTCATTAATCCCTACACTAGGCTTTAAAGCAATAGACAAGCAGCAGGCATCACCCATGTTTTATAAGTGAGGACACCAAGGCACAGAAATTAACCTGCCTGAGGCTATAAAGTCAATAATGGAGTTAGAAATAAAAGCTGGATTCCCTAATGGCCCCCCCCGACCAGTGCTACATTCATTACAATAGTCATGACTGACTTAAGAACCTAAGGAGGGAAACTATTCAGTTTCACCTGACCCAAACAACCATTTGCCTTATCAAATGGCTTGCGACACTCACAGGAGGGTCATATCTGTTAGGTCCGTACACACACACACACACACACACACACACACGGACCTAATATAATATATGTGTTTGTGTGTGTGTGCGTACATATGTAAAAAAACAAAAAACAGAAGAATATGTATCCCTTGAGCTTGCCCCAACTATCTCATCACATGTGATGGGAAATAAAGGATATTAGACACACTTACTGAAACTAACAGCACCATACAGTATGGTAAAGTCCTGCATATTAATTTGTTTTTCAATTACGTTACACAGTTACCTATAAAAAATTACAACCTAGAAGCACTTTGTAATTCTTATTTGCCTCTGTAACTGGAGTAAGCCTGACTTGCGTGTGCTCCTTCTAAACCTAGAGAAGCAATGGGGGCACAGAGAGGTAACTCCTGCATTTTCATTTCAACTACTTCATTAAAGAAAAGGGTAAAATAATATACAGGGAGACATGAACCAACTTATAGATTAAAGATATAAAATCCACATTTGGCATTTGCTTGTGACACTCTTGACAATAGCAATTTTAAAATGCAGCCACCAGCATTTACTAATGCGTCTCTGTGCCCTGACACTGCAAAACAATTTACCCAGAGCTTTATTTGAATGATGTGAAAAATCTAAGAAATAATTCAACTGCACTTGCCCAACATCTGAATTCTTACATATTTTAACTGTTGTTATACTAAATATACAGAAAAAAGCATAAAAGGAATAGAATATTTAAAACAATTCTAAAGTATTGGGAAGCATACAAAATAGCTATTTCTATGTTTCTAATTCTTTTCTTATTAATAAGCACAAATCAATCTACGGAATATAAAAACTAAGTGAATTTGTTCAGAAAAATCAAAGCTTCCAAAATGAATCTGACAATTGTTTCTGAATTAAGAGCAAATATGCATGTGTCATAAAGGAAAAGGGCATGAATGCTGATTTTAAATCCGGAACACAATGGTCACATCTAACTTCAGTTGGGAGAGAGAAGAAAGAGAGCCATCAACCCGGGTATTAAAGTCTTTGTTTCATCACAGACCTTGACTCAGGAATACAAGTCAACTAAAAAACCGTTTTTAAGTTGAACCACTTACACGGCATTCCTGGAGGCTCCGGAGGACAGCAATAGCTTGACTATATCCACGTGTCCATTCTTGGCTGCGTCGTGAAGCGGTGAGTCGTTCTGATACCCAGTGGTGTTCACCAATGCCTTGTGCTGAAGCAACAACTCTACCACCCTCAGATGCCCATGATTGCAGGCTTCATGCTAATTAAATAAAAGGAAAAAGAGTGGGAGACTGATGAGAAAGAGTGATGGATGTCATAACAAAAGTGCACTCTAAAAAATAAATGTGACCTCAGTCAGTAAATTGGTTCTTCCCTAAAGACTCATACAGACCTAAGTTGCTGACAGAGTAAAAGCCACTATCAACAATCTTTGTGACAAGATGCACGGTGATCAAGATCTATGCAATTCATGGAAAAAGATGTTATTCATTTCAGCCTTGGATCAAGTGCTCTTTTTTTTAAGAAGAAAATGTAGCTTTAAACCAATATTGGTTCCTAAATTTATCTACAACAAGAAATTAAAAACAACAAGAAGAAAAAACTTAGAAAGTATTGAACAACCAGATCCTGCATAAAATCGAAAATTCTCCAAGGCTGAACAGAATTCACTAGTCAGTTGCTTAGCCACATGCTAAGTGATGTGTTGCCTATACACAACCATTCAAAGTGAATATCCTAGAGAGTATTTACAAGACAAGCCTCTCTATTTGCTGAAGCTACAGACTACTGTATGGCTGGTGTGAATGACAACAGAAATAACACGGAGTAGGCAGGCAAAAAGAGCTTACTGAATGAATGACATAACTGGTAACAGTGGAATAGTCAGATTCCACACATGCAAGTCTTTCCTTATGTCTAGTGAACTGTTAACAACGCCACTACGTTGTATTCTAATAAATCTCTGGCTTACTGGGCTTTTTAAGTACATCTATTCAATTCATAATAAGCAATACCACACTAAACATCTGTAGGTCTATTTCTAGGAGAAAGGAATCCAAATTAGGCATCAGATCAACTAAATCACTCACCAACTTTTACTACAATTTGCCTAAGTGGCTTAAGAAAAAGAAGTTAATCTTTCTTTGAAAAGGTTAGTTAGCCTGTGGAGTCAAAACAACAAAGAGACTCTGATCCAGACTAAACCCTCCTAGCTTAAAAATCTGGCAAGCAGAAGTCATTATATACAACTTTAAACCTTTTTTGCACCCAGCCTAATGAGAATCTCCCAATTTTGGGGCTGAATCTACAGTTCACAGGATAAGGGCATCCACCTCATCTGTTGACACTTCTACAGCTGCATTCAAACCGCATGCTTATGGTCCTAACTTGTTCCCATGTATTTGTGCCATTCTTTTTTCTAGACTATACTTCACACTGCATTTTTAGTACAGTCATGCGTCGCTTAATGACGGGGATACATTCTGAGAAACACATCGTTAGGCGATTTTGTTGTTGTGCGAACATCATAGTGTATTTATACAAATCTAGATGGTACAGCCTACTGTACACCTGGGCTATATGGTACTCATCTTATGGGACCACCATCATGTATGTGGTCTGTTGTTGACTGAAACACTGTTAAATGTGGCGCATGACTGTAATAATAAGCATAGACTTTTTAAAATGTTTAATGTAAGCAAAGATTTCTACTGCCTCTGTATATTTTCAGTTGGATAGGATATAAGTGAGACTAGGATAGAACATCAATAAGAATCACTTTCTTGCGATACATTCTTATACCCAATTCCTCTGACCTCTCTTTATTCCAAGAAATCTGGTTCCAGTGACGTGCAGTACTGCCAAATGGAGCCTGATGGTTGTAGCAGTTACCTCCAAACATTAGCTGGATTCAGCAATAGTGTGTAACTGGATTCCTAAATCTAAAGGTAGTCAGGCAAAAGGTAACCAACTTCTTGCCTGTCACAACTGAAAAGCTAGATGAAAAATAATCATTTTCTCTTGGTGAAAATAGAAGTTCTTCAGATTAAAAAGGAGAGTGTATCTGGCAGAAGATGATATATAGACAACTACATAACTATAAACTATAACAACGATATAAAACATAAACAGAATGAGAATTAAAAAAAAAAATAGAAAACTACCAATGGTGTCCATCCAGCATGGTCTTTAACATTTGGGTCGCTTCCGTTTTGCAAGAGGTATTCAACAGAAGGTATGTCACCCTACAGAGCAATGAAAAAAGAAAAAGAAATTAAAAATCATCAGGAAAAGAAGATATTGAGATTCTGTTTTTTTTTTTTAAGATTCCATCTTCTTCAAGATAGAATAAAACAAATCTTTTCTCTTATACCTATTGCTCAGGAGTCAACAAATAATAAGCTATGTATGTATGAATTGTTCTGAGGTACCAAGTCACGGAAGTTATATGGTCTCCTTGAACACACGACCTCCGCTCTTAGCCACTCATATCAAAATTCATTTCAAAATACCAAATAAAGGAGACTAGCCAAAGATCATCTGATCATAATAAGTTTTTAAAGTCATCGTTTCATTTGTGAAAAACTTTCGAGCATACATGAAGCTGGTTTCTGAGTATTGTCTAAAACAAAATAAAGCCAAGAAGGCTACTCAGTGAAACCAATGTTAAAACTGCCAAAAAGTGTTGTCTTGTTGGCAATTACTCTACTTATATTGTATACATTAATTTAAATAATTTTATTTATTTATTTTTTCCCCCAAGGCCCCAGTAGATAGTTGTATGTCATAGTTACACATCCTTCTAGCTGCTGTATGTGGGACGCGGCCTCAGCATGGCCGGAGAAGCGGTGTGTCGGGGCGTGCCCGGCATCCGAACCCGGGCCGCCAGCAGCAGAGCGCGCGCACTTAACCGCTAAGCCACGGGGCTGGCCCTGTATACATTAATTTAGTTTATATTCACCTTATTTGCTCAAATATATTCTTCTAGGCAGAAGCAAGGCTCATTTTCTCCAAAAATAACTGACAGAGCTTACTCTGATTAAGACTAAATAAGTAAAAGCTACAAATGACAACGTTGTGTTCTGTTGGTTTTGTGAAGCGCTTCTTTAGGGAGAAGGAACTCTGTCCCCTCCCACTCAGCCCCAACAATCTGCTGACACGAATTTTTTCCTCTATTGGTTTGAAAATGTCGAACTAAGTCCCCTAAAAACCATAACATTTGCTTTTATTTGATTGTTTGGGCTACCTCTCAAATACAGCAAATCTTAAGATGGTAGTTTACTTGGTTTTCTAAAAAAACAAATCCACATGCAACATACGTTTTTATGTTCCTAAATTAACAAAATGACCTTAAATACTTAATGAGACCAAAAAAATAAGCATTATATATGTTTCAAATCAATTGCCCCAGTTCCAATTAAAAACATTTCCTCATAGTTCCTTAGGGGTGCAAATTCTATACCTCAAGTACAAGTTAACACCTATTTAGGAACATTTGCTCTATATGCAAGTCAGTTCCAAACAAAGTCAGGAACATCTCTCAAGATACAAATTTGAACTTTTTAAACAATCTCATGAATATTGGGGCAGATGAACTGCCAGAACCACATATTCCCAACCCTCAACATGAAAGTATCCACAAAACACTTCTCAAAAATTTCCCCATTCTAATTCTACGTGGTAATCACAAAAATATATTAACCTAAAGAAGTCCATAAAATAATATAAACATCCGTGGAATGAAAGAGTCACATGGGAACAGTCACACAGGAATACAGTGACAATTCAGAGAGTAAAAGCAGAATCTCTTGTGAGCCTGCTAGACAGTGGTGTTTTTCTTTCCTGTCACCTCTTCATATCATCAAAGGTGTCTTCTGCTAACATTCCACCTCGAGACTTCCCCGAAATGTTAGCTGATATGCAAACCGCTTGCTTTTTACACCCAATCTGCTTTCTCCTCCCTAATACTTAAAAGTTTGTCATATTTTTATCGTTCTACTTTATGTAAATTTAGTGTCATGCACATAAATAAAATGATGATAATTACATAGGGTCCACAGTAACTGGGTAAGCCTGAACCAAGATGACGTTTCCAGGAAATAAATTAACTTCTGCTTCTGATTTCCTTAAATTACTTTCTTCCCTAACAATATTTTCTGAGTAATAAGCACTCACATTTAGGATCCTCACAACTTAAAAGAATAATTGAGATTTCCTTCAACCACAGCAAGAAAAAAAAAAATCATCTCAGGAAAGTATTTACCAAGGCTTATAAGAAATTCTATATGGATTTGGTACTTTCAAGTAAAACCTTAAAGGCTGAAAATAAGGGAGCATGTGTGTCATACTGAACTTTCTCATTGCTAACCTTTCATTCAAAGGAAAGATTCTTCACACATTTGTGTATATTACCAGCAATACAAATTTACTTTCCAAAAACACAAAAACAAAATTCTTTTTCTTTATTATAAAGGCTAGTTCTTCTAAAATACTATTAAGAATAAACACCTTTATAAAAATAGTACAGGACATTATAGTTAAGTACAATAATAATGACTTACCCAAAATGATTAAGCTTTTCTACATAAATTAACTGACCAGGTACCTAAAACTTCTCCTTTTAGCAACTAGATGTCATTAAAAAAAATTCAGTCATCTGGGATGGAGACCTAAAATATATTAAACACTTCCCGGGCTTCTTAGCCAGAGTTTACTAAGTAAAATTTCACACATGATTCTGACAACCTAGTGATCATGGTGGTAAGTTACTGGTATTACAAAGCTGTTGGTATTACAAAGGTGGTGGGTGACAGAGGGAAAAATGTATTCTGACTCCATGAGGTGTTCTAGAAATTCAAATCCTGAAAATATCACAGATGCCAGTTTGCTTCTGAGTCCTTTGCTCCTTTCTCAGGAAGCTAGTATGAAGGATACGTAAAAACACAACTTTACACACCATATAACATGACTGCCTTAGAGTTTAATGAATTAGAGTCAGACCCTGAAGGAGACTCCTCACAAGGGATTTTCTCTCTACCCAGGAGGTCTCATCACCTTTGCTGTGTTATAAGCATATCATGCCTTGTAAGTTGCCTTCAAAACCTTATCTATCATGTCTGCACCACAAATACATCATGACATGCCAACTTCATGTCATTCTTCTACTTTATAATACGTTCATTGCTGGGCCATGAATTCTGAGTATTCACTACCATTTTAAGAATCTGTGCTAGAGAACTTTGGGGAGCTTTATTCCAGGACCTACAAATTCTCAAGCAGGTGACATAACAGAATAACAAATAAAATTTTCTATATGTCTAGAGAAATGGTATTTCTTTGTATTAAATCAGAAGAATAAATCATATGAGTGTTTATCTCAGTTTCTACGTAGGCATGATGCTTTCTCACAAAATGTCTCATATATAACAATGTTCTCAGTAGCTTTTTAACCACAGGTGACAAACATGTTCAAATATAAACATGGAAAATAAAGAGAGCCTAGAGATGTCAACTTTCGTTCTGCTTAAATGAGAACGTTCACAACATCCCTGGCATCGTATTGATATGTAGTCTGCGTGAAATTCCATAGTGTAAGAAAATAAAAGTATACATAAGGAATTCAAGAATAATCCTGTGTAGGGTTTGCATTCAAATGGTGCTGACCGTCCAAAACCTAGGTGGCTGGCCTATAAGCCCCTGATCCTGAGGGAAAAGAGAATTTGAGAATTGATAATATAAGCTGTATCTGCTGATGATATAGTAAGCAGCCTGGATACTTAGTAAGAGCCTTCTATTACCAAGTATGGAGGTTATGAAGATAAATACGATAACTGATGCTTTACATTAACCCAGAAGTCCCACTTCTAAGGATTTATCCTAAAGATATACCTACTTACACATGAAACAAAGATTCCTTACTGCAGCAATGTTCATAAAAGCAAAAGAATGGAAACAAACGGGCATCCCTCAGTAAGGGACTAATTAAATAATGAAAATTCATGGAAAGCTATGCTACTATAAAAATGCACAGAAAGCTGTGTGCTACTATGGAAAGCATTTGCTTATATTTGCATAAAGAAATTCACAAAAGTTACACAAAGTAAGAAGGGTGGTTAGCAGAGGGGGCTTGTCAGCAACAGGGTGGCTGGGGACAGAAATGGGAGTGAGGCTTTCCACTGTAAATACTTTTATTCTTATTTTTGAAACGTGGAGTTATTACCCATATTTTCAAATTAAATTTTAAATGAGGAATATATTCCAGATAACCACAAATCTAACTGAAGATTCAGATAATAAATAGAAAGCTAAATGAATATGAATGCAAACAAATAATGTCAACAGAGAGAAGAAACTAACTCTGGGAATTCTGAACAAGACTTATTAAGAAGGTAGGATGTGAGCTGGATTTTGAAGGTTAGATACAAAAGGACCAGGAGGGAAAAGAGAAAGATATAGAGGAAAGGATATAAGAGGCAGAGGAAAGAACACATGCAAAGTATTGTTAGCATTAATGAATGTACCCGAATAACTCATAAGGTTAAAGTTCAGTGTGACAGGAGAATGGGGCTCAGAATATAGCTGAATGGAAAATTCACTCATCTGTTCAACAAAATATCAATCTACTATGTGCCAGGCAACGTTTAGATACTGAAGATATAACAGTGAACAAATGGGATTCTTGCTCTCATTCTAAAGAGAGAGGCAAGAAACAAAGAGATCTGCAATAATAACGTCAGGAAATAATAATAGGAAGAAAAGCGAAACAAGCTAAGCGTACGGCAGGGACTGCTATTTTAGTTAAGTTAGGAAAAGTCTCTCTGAAGAGGCGGCATTTGACCAGAAGCCTGAAGAACGAGGGATCACACAGGGCTGTGGAGGCCATGGGAAGGACTGTGGGTTTTACGTTAAGCGGGCGAGGAAGTTACTGGTAGAGGAGCAGAGAAATGACAAGTTCCAACCAGGTCACACTACTCTGGCTGTCACAGAGAGAACTGACTGCAGGAAGCATATAGAAAAACAGGACGAGGTCAGTGGTGTGGTCAGAAGAATAATGACTCCCCCAAAAATGTCCACGTCCTAATCCCCAGAATTTGTGAATATATTACCTTACGTGGCAAGAGGGTTTTTGTAATGCGATTCAGGGTATGGAGCTTGAGATGGGGAGATCATCCTGCACTGTCTGGGTGGTCCCATGTGAGTCCACAAAAGCAGTGAACCTTTCCTGGCTAGATCAGAAAGATGGATGTGAGAAGGACTCTACCCACTCTGCTGGCTTTGAAGACCGAGGAAGAGGGCCACCCACTAAGGAATACGACAGTCTCCAGAAGCTGAGAACGGCCCTCAGCTGAAAGCCAGTGAGAAAACAGGATCTCAGTCCTACAGCCACCAGGAACTACGCAGTACCTGTCAACAACCCAAACAACCGAGGAAACGGGGTCCCTCCTAGAGCCTCCAGAAAGGAGCACAGCTGACAGACTGATTTGAGTCTGGTGACTAAATTCCAGACTTCTGACCTACAGAATGTAAGAAAATAAATTTGCCTTGTTTTAAGTCATTAAATTTGTGGTAATTTGTTGTGACAGCAATGGGAAGCTATTGAGAGTGGTCAGGGCAAGAAAAGACAAGTAGCGTCCACTCGAGTGGTAGCCATGGAAAGGTTATGGCCAACAAAGATGCCCAGAGGTAAGTGTGGGACAAGATACTAAAGAATTCTATTAATAATATTACCAGTTTCAGAAATGATTCTGCAAAGCCATAACTGCAGGAGAGGAAGCTAACTAGCCCAAGAGAACAGTGAAAACTACCACGGGGTTCTCTGGCCCCACTGCACACACTGAGCATGCACAGTGCAACCATGCATGCTTAAAATCCGAGAGAAACAACGGAAACTGGAAGTCTGCCAGGATGCTTGAGGGAAAATAACACTACAACAACAACAACAACAACAAAATCTATCTTTACAGCAAAACCCTGGTACTTCCCCTTATTTACTCTGGATGCCTGAAAGGTCATCAGGTCTATGCTCATTACTCAGCGCAGTAACTCTGTCTTCTCTCCCTGCTCCTTGGTCCACTGCATAGTAGTTTTAACTCTAGAGCCACCTCAAATCCTTTTCTGCAGCCGTCGGGTATAAAGCATAAATAAGACAGCAGAATTACAACGTTCGGTTTTCTAGTACACACAGACTATTCATTCTTGGCTGCAAATGAAAAAATTAGGACAGAAAATGAAATCAATACGATTTATAAAAAGACAAATACACTGATAATTCCATTGGTTTTTTTTTCAAGAATTTGTTCTGACTGTTAAAATCAAGCTGAGATGGGGGCATACATTCAACTCATAATAAATTTTTAAAAGAGAACACTACTGTTAAACAGTGATTTCAAAAACAATAGAAATCAGTTAACTTTTCTAAACGTATTATATCAGAATCTGCCAACTAATGACAATAATAGTATTTGATAAGTTCAAGAGAATCAAAAGGGGTAATCCTAACTTTGGCAAGACAATTTCTAAGCACATTGATAAACTGACAGAACTTGTATGAAGCAATCTTGAACATATCAATGGGGAAAATTCACCAGGACAGCATCACGCCACCATTTTTTCCTGTCTTAAGATTCTGCTGGGCTTTTCTCCATGGCCTGGGCCAAGGATAGGCAAACTACGACCTACAGATGCCTGTGGGTCAGACATCTGATTTTGCATGTGAGGTTTTCTTGGCTCACAGATTGTCCATGGCTGCTTCTGCACAGTTCGAGGCACCTGAATAGCTATTATGACAACGTGCCCTGCAAAGCTAAAAATATCTACTCTAATTGCCCTTTAAGAAAGAGTTTGCCAAACCACAGCCTAGACTCTTAGGTCCTAGAGATCCTCACTAAGAAAGATAAATTATTCTTATGGTTGAAAAAAAATTCTCTACCAATGTAAGTGGATGCCTGCCTGGTGGTCTGAAAGTAATTCCCAGAGAGCAAAATGCAGAAACTAAAGCAGCCTACATTCTTATGTAATAGTCAGAAAAATGAACAAAAAATAATAATTATTATGCTAGCTACTTAACGTCTATGAAGCATTAATAGCATTTTAGTGTTAAGATTATAATAGCTAACGTATATATGTATTAGGCATTAATATTATTATGCATTATTATGCATTTAACATATAAAACAAAGAAGAAAAAAAATATAGTCTGGGGGCCAGCCCGGTGGTGTAAAGTTCACACGCTCTGCTTCGGGGGCCTGGGGTTCGCAAGTTCAGATCCCAGGTGCGGACCTACGCACCACTCATCAAGCCATGCTGTGGCAGGCGTCCCACATAAAGTAGAGGAAGATGGACACAGACGCTAGCTCAGGGCCAGTCTTCCTCAGCAAAAAGAGGTAGATTGGCAATAGATGTTAGCTCAGGGCTAATCTTCCTCAAAAAAAAACAATATATATATAGTCTGGTTTTTAAAATCATGCTTTGCAAAAATCAAACTAAAATGTAACCAGAACCAACTCCGAAAATTCAAGCTGCTCAAAGGATATGTAATCCCTTGCATACAGTCATGCATGTTCTCCCGTCACTGGTATCCGATATAGAGTATTCTACATTCATCATTTATTAGAAGATAAGCAAGGAAAAAAATAAAACACTAACAGTTGGGATAAATTCATTTTTGTGCTTTTCCCTTTCTCCACACAAAAATACAGGAATCCCTGGATTGAATGTCTACTCCATGTTCTTCCCAGACATTTTATGTTGCTCACCAGCCTCAAATTTGGGGGCCTCCAAGGGCTCCTTCCAGACCTCCCAAAGTTCTCTATCCATGCAAAAGACCCAAGGATTTTCCAGTGAATTTACTGACAGATCATAAAAGCTACCCTAATTTAGTACTAAGCCCTCTCATATTATATTTTCATTAACACTTGCATGGAATGACAGATCAAAGCCTGTAAAGCTATGGTGCTAACTGCTGCCCTTCACACATAGTACTCATGTCAGTTTCAGAGATTAACCACTGCAAGAACCCCTCATGCTCGGCCAACCGGCCAGGTTCCAAACAACGGACCCTGCCACACCCCAGGTTTTGAGGCAATAAATATGGAGAATTAACTTCAATGAACAGGCTAGTAAAAGTAATAATTGGCCATGAGGCATGGGGAAGCCCCTTGGTGTTGAACCACAGGAGCCATTTCTGACAACCACATTTCTAGGTCATTGGTGAAATGTACGGACCACATCTTTCAACCTTCCGAATCCTGGCAGTGCCCGCTAGGAGTGTCAAATGTAAATGGAAGCTTGTGGCCTCCCACACTGCCCCCAGCTCCTTTGCTAGGTAAAGACGTGTTGCCCCCAGCCGTAACTTGGCAATTGTCTATATTCAAAAAGCATGAGAAGAATGGGTAAACAAAATAGTGAAAACTGAACCAAACCATTATGGGACAGACAAAAACAAAAGCACTTGGCAAAGTAGGGGCTGAAATATTGAAATATTGGTTTTCTCCTGCAAGATCATGCTCCTTGGGCTCAGGGGCCACAACTCTAACTGAGGTGGGGACACAGTCCATGTGAATTTTGTTCCTCTGGGTCACAAGTATCACATCTATGACAGGTTAATTATCCTAGTAGTCTTATGTCATTTTTCACAAACCCCAAGGAAATTGTTTTATTGTTGGTCTCATTCCAAAACTGTATTTCAGAATAAGTATCCTACCTTAATAGAAGCAATATGGAGGAGAGTCTCTCCTCTATGATTTCTTTTCACAGCCATAAGCCTTCTAGGCGACAGCTTCATTGCTGAGGGGCTGGATATCATTCGTCTGTAACTTGAACTATTCAGTGTAGAAGGTGGTGTACCTGGTGAAAGACTAATAGATTCATCCGCTAGAATACTGCTTTTCCTCCCTAACGTGTCATCAACTTTAAGTTTGCTTGAAGGTGGTGAAGAACAGCCAGGCAATGGTGTGTTTTCTGAGAGCACTGTTTGCTTGACAGAATTTCCACCGGTGCTCAGAACGTTGTTTCTACATCTCTTAGACACGGGACTGGAAAGTCTGTTGTGACGCCCACGTTTTCCATTATGACCTAATGGCAAGGATTTCTTAGACGAAAGATACTTTTCACAGAGATTCTTCTCAGGAGTCACTACTTCATCCCTGCTCTTATTTTCTGGAGACTCTATTTGCTCAGCCAATGGTAAAGAGACTTCAGTTAAGCTTCCAAAACCTTCGGATTCTGTTACAGAGCCGCTTGCTAGTAAGTCTATCTCACCATTTATCTGCGGACTAGCAATAATAGATGGTTGGCTACAGAAGGATACCAGCTTTTCCTTACATTCCTCTTTGGAATCAAGTTCACCATCTTCTTTTTCTACCTCTAAACTCCATTTTTGGTTGATTTCAGCTAAAGTTTTCTTTTTTTGCTTTTTTCTAGATCTTGTAGGAGCCTTTTTAGCCGTCTCCGAAACATCTCCTGTAGGACTTGGAGAAACATATTCATACATTGAGCTCTGCTGAGCATTTTCATCATTTATCATTTGAGGCTGGGTTTGCACTGAAACTTTAGTCACAACATATCTGACCTTCTTACTTCGAGGACTAAACCACATTTTTATTGAATTCTTCTTACTTTCTGCATCATCAAATAAACTTTTCCTAGATGTATCTTCTTTTAAATCTGATTTAAAAAAAAAGGAAAGGAATTTGTTACATGATTATTCTCTTCCATCTTGAGCTCCCAGAGAATTCTGTTTATAGTTCTCCTAAGGTGTATCACCTTTCCTCTATGTACCTCCTTCTCCCCTTCTAGACTATAAACTCCTTGAGAGCAGATATTCACTCATTCAACAAATATTTACTGAATCTGACTTTATACCAGACAATGTTCTAGGGACTGGAGATACAGCAGAGAACAAAACACAAAACATATATTTCATTGGGGATAGACAGAATGTACAAATAAATAAGTAGAATATACAGTATGCCAGTGGTGATACAAGCCATGGAGAAAAGATATACTAAATAAACAGACAGACAGATATGGAATTTAATAAACAGTAGTCAAAAAAACTAAGACTTGTTAATTGGCGCTTAATTTTAAAAAAAGACTTTTGACAATTAAAATAATACACTATATCAACAAACTAAAGGAAAACCATGTGTTTTTCTCAGCAGACACAGAAAAAAAAACATCTGACAAAATCCAACATCCATTCATGATTTTAAGAGAGACTCAGCAAATTATGGATAGAAGGGAACTTCTTCAACCTGATGAAGGTCAACTACAAAAACACACACAGCTATTATCAAGCTTAACAGTGAAAGACTGGAACTACTATTTTGTTCCTATTATCAAGAACAAGGCAAAGATGTCTACTCTCACCACTCCTACTCAACATTATACTAAAGTCCTAGACAGCACAGCAAAGTAAGGAAAAGATATAAAAGGCACACAGATTGTAAAGGAAAATATAAAGCTGTATCTATTCACAGCTGACTTGAGTCACTATGTAGAACATCTCAAGCTTTAAAAGAAATCTTTAAAAAAAAATTAATAAACTAACGAGTGACTTTAACAAGGTCATAGAATACAAGCTCAATATACCAAGTTCAACTTCAACTGTATTTCTATGTACTAACAATAAACAAATGTAAACTGAAATTTTAAAAAACAGTACCATTTATAATAGTACCAAAAAAACATAAAATACTTAAATATAAATCTAACAAAATATCAACGTAAGTTCTTTTTTCTGAAAATTACAGAATATTTATTGAAAGAAACGCTACACAAATGGACAGACACACCATGTTCACGAATTAGAAGACTCAATATTGTTAAGTCAATTCTCCCAAACAGATCTACAGACAATAACACAATCCCAGTGAAAATTCCAGCAGGCTTTTTTTTGTAAAAAGATTCAAGCTAATTCTAAAATTTACATGGAAAAGCAAAGAAATTATAATATGGGACGGCAAAAGACCTAGAACAGCCAATACAATACCAAGAATAACAAAGTTGGAGGACTCGCACTACCTGATTTCAGCTTATTTCAAAGTGAATCTAGGGGATAAAAGATAATAGTCACGCGGGTACCATCTAATATAACTTTAAACTATGCAAACCAAAAACTAATGAGAATAAATGAAGTATAACTACATAGTCAAACACACTCTTGAGCAAAAGAAGCAAGATACAAAAGAGTAAATAAAAATTGCTAAAACTAATGCAATGTGTTAGGGCAGAATGGAGGTTATCCCTGCGGGGAAAGGAGGCAGTAACTGGACGGGGGCAACAAGGGCAGCCTCTAGAGCACCGTTAATTCCTCTGGGTGAGCTCAGTTTGTGAGAATTCATTAAGCTATACACTCACGACAGCATGTTATACTTTAAAAAGAAGTTTTTAAAAAAATACATATTTATAGTCAGGAATTAAAATGAGAGTTAGAAAAACAGTCACCGCTCGTCGTGCCTAAGGAGACAGGTGTCACACGTTGTGGGCGAGCACTCTTTTGAACAAACACCTTGCTGCTTTAGCTAAGGTCATCAAGGAAGGCCTCTCTGGAGAGCTCACTTTGAGTTGAGACCTCAATGACAAGAGGGAAGCAGCCACAGAAGGATCTGGGAAAGCGTTTCCCAAGCAGAAGGAAGAACAAGCGCCAAGGTCTTAAGATGGGAACAAGTTTAGCATATTTAGCTGGATGGAAAGCCAGCGTGGCTGGAGCGTGGAGCAGGCGCGTAAAGTGCAGGGAGCAGAAGCATTCCAAAAAGAGCTCAGTCCCAGCTTTCTCTGCTGGGACTCCTCATCCCACCAACCTCTGAAGTGGGAGGGCCTGGGACCTCTCTATCTGCAGCCACTGCCTTGGTAACCTTATCTATCTACACACTTCCAACTCCCAATGTATCTGTGCAGCCCTGACCTCCCCCCTGAGCTCCAGACTCCAATCTTCAACTGCCTACTTACCAACTCTACCTGCAGGTCTACTCCTAACAAGGGTCTCACACTGAACATGACTCAAACTGAGCTCTGATCCACACCCTCCCAAACCTGCTCCTCCTACGGTTTTCCCCCATCTCAGTAAATGGCATATCCATAAATCCAGCTGCTCTGCACAAAAACCTTAGAAACAAACCTGCCTCTGCTCTCTCTCTCACATCCTATATGCCAAATGCAACTTCCATCAGTGCCACCTGCAAAATACATCCAAAATCTGACTGCTTCCTACCACCTCCACACCTGCCACCATGGTGTAAGACAACCTCATCTCTCACTAGACGATCATGACACTTTCCAAAGTCGTCTCCCTGATTATGTGCTTGCCTCCTGCCCCATAAGTCTATTCTGAACACAGCAGTCAGTGGTCCTTTTATAATTGGTCAGATCATGTCACTAAACCCTCCAGAGACTTCCAATCTGACTCTGAATAAAAGTCAACATCTTAGTAGTCGTCTAAAGGCCAGAGACAACCTGATCCTCCCCTCTCCTTCCTGATCTCATTGCCTGTTCCCTCCTCCTTTCTTACCATTCCAGGCACTGGGCCTCCTGCTGTTCCTCTAACACATCAAGCATGCTCCTCCTCAGAGCCTTCCCACTTGCTGATCCTCTGCCTGGAGGCCTCTTCCCCAAATATGTGCACAGCTCACTCTCTCCCCAACCTCAAGTCGTTGCTCAAATGTCACATTTGTGGGAGACCAGACCTGATACTCTACTTAAACTTACATACCCTCACCTCCTACTTATTTTACTTATATTTCTGTGTCTTATCTGTCTCTTCCCATCAGAATATCAGCTCTGTGAAGGCAACTTGGTGTTTCTACCCTGCCCTATCTCCATTGCCTACGTGGCATCTAGCACACAGCGGATGCTCAAGTAATATTTACTGGATGAATGAATGGGATCTTATAATCCAGGTAAAGCAAGCTGATCTCACTCAGACTCAAGTCAGGGAAAGGACAGAATATTTCACACTTTAGAATAAGTCTGGCTGCTGTGTGGAGGAGGAACTTTAGAAAGAAAAGAGTGGTCACAGTGACCAATTACATGGCCATCATCCAAGAGAAAGATAATAGTGGCTTTGATAAGCATTCTAGCAGTAGAAATAGTAAAAAGCATCAAATACAAAATCTAAAAGACCCTAATTAGCTAAACCAAGAGGCAAGGGAGAGACGATAAAATGTTTAAAGGTCCAGTAGCAGGAGGGCATATAATAATTTAAGGAACTAAAAGACGGCCAGTATACTTGCCTTGCAGAGACCAAGGAAGAAAGTGGTATAAAGATGAGACTATAAAAATAGGCAATAGCCAGACCACGCAAATTCTTGCTGCAATGTTAAAGACTTCAAGACCTACGCTAAGAGCATGGAAAACCAATCAAATGTTTTATATAAGTCAGGTGGCATGGCTACACCCGCATCTTTAAAAGACCACTCTTGGCTGGAGTGTGGGAAAACAGACTGGAGAAAGGCAGGAGCGGATGCAAGAATAATCGTTAAGAGGCCAAACTAGGAGTATAGGTAGGAGATAACAGACTAGGGAGGTGGGAATAGAAAAAGAAAGAATAGATTTGAAAAATATTTAGGAGATAAAATTTACAGGATTTGGTGATGAAATGAATACAAGAAGAAAGAGGTGACGAGGACGATTCGCAAGTTTCTGGCTTACATCACTGAGCACACCTAGAGGAGAAACACTGATGCCTGGAGAGGCAATCTGCCAGGGGTCCTGAGCACCCCCGCACATTCCTGCAGGGTGCACCAAGAAGGCAAGGCCCTGGCTGCTCTTTACCTGGGCCATCTCTTAGGACTGTGTTTGCAGCAAGCAACTCTGAGGGATGTGGCAGTGTCTCCCCATGGAGAAAAAGCAGGTCTATTTCTGCTTCCCTCAAAAACAGGCCATTCCGGGCTGGCCCCGTGGCTTAGCGGTTAAGTGCGCATGCTCCGCTACTGGCGGCCCAGGTTCAGATCCTGGGCGCGCACCGACGCACCGCTTCTCCGGCCACACTGATGCCGCGTCCCACATACAGCAACTAGAGGGATGTGCAACTATGACATACAACTATCTACTGGGGCTTTGGGGGACAAAAAGGAGGTGGATTGGCAATAGATGTTAGCTCAGAGCCGGTCTTCCTCAGCAAAAAGAGGAGGATTAGCACGGATGTTAGCTCAGGGCTGATCTTCCTCACAAAAAAAATAAAAATAAAAATAAAAACAAAAAAAAAACAGGCCATTTCAAGCTCAAGAGTTCCTTTCCTATATCACAACCTGCTACGTGTGCAGGAATCCATGATGGGCCTTTGGCCAATAATGATTGAAGATGCAAAACTGCTAAATAAAACATTAGCAAACAAATCAAGGAATTTCAGATGTATATACCCTTTCATAAAGCCATTTCACCTCTAGTAATCTACCTTAGAAAATAGTCATGCACGTGCCTCCAAACACAGATGTATAAGAATGTTAATCGCAGCGATATTTGTAATAACATAAATTAGGAAATAGGTCAGTGTTCAAAAACTGGGGATCAGTTAATTATGGAGCATTTATACTACGAAATCTTATGTAGACGTTATAAATATCAACTAACATGCAGAGATCTTCAAGACACTTGTAAGTGTAGCACACTCTCATTTATGTTTTAAAAATTTCTATTGCATTTATGTCCAAATATTTTCATAAATT